AATATATACATGTATATATTATAGAAATTTGGTCAGAAAGTTAGGTCAAGGATTATCAAATGAATCAGAATGAATATTTCCAGAAATGTTTGCATAAATTGGAATTATAATTTTTCAAAAAACAAGAGTGTCCACTATAGTCAGAGGCTTTTTTTTTAAAGATATATATATATAACACAGCACTGAGTCTTCTGAGATATTTTTTAAAGATATATAACACAGTCCTGGGTCTTCTGAGCAATTTTTTTAAAGATATATAACACAGCCCTGGGTCTTCTGAGCTATTTTTTTTAAAGATATATAACACAGCCTTGGGTCTTCTGAACTATTTTTTTTTAAAGATACATAACACAGCCTTGGGTCTTCTGAGCTATTTTTTTAAAGATATATAACACAGCCTTGGGTCTTCTGAGCTAGTTTTAATGATATATAAAACAGCCCTGGGTCTTCTGAGCTATTTTTTAATGATATATAACACAGCCCTGGGTCTTCTGAGCTATTACGTCGATTTCTCTGTATTTCTAATGTAACAACTACACATTTATAAAATTATCAAAAACGCAAGGTTTCAACTAAATATTTTTTTCTGTGCACTATCAGTTAATTTTACTCTAGAATGTATGTGGATCGTGGTGCATGTAAAACGAATAATAACGTATTAATGAAAAAAGGGTGTTTTATATATAATGGATGAGAAAGTAAGAAAGCGATACTTTTTAATATATTAATAAACATTTTCCGGTAGTGTAGTCTGAGGACTTACAACGCTAGAATTCGGGTTTCGATACCCGTGGTGGGCAGAGCACAGATAGCCCATTGTGTAGCTTTGTGCTTAATTACAAACGAACAAACAATCTATACGGAAATGTTGTGTTATTTTCTGAAAGTATGAAATAACTCATCGTACTTTGAGTATAATACTATTTCAGTGGTTGTAACAAAACAAACTGAATGTCAAGGAGGTGGCGTTGCTTCATTATCGAAATTTTCACACTTACACAAAATCTGGCATATTTATCACATCTCTGCTCAGTGGGTTATCTACGCTGGGTCTACAGAGGGTTCGAGCCTTGAAGATGGTCAGAAGCCTTTTTCTTGTTATTTTAACCATGTTTAGAAATCACCCTTACAGGCTGGAAAACTGTCTTTTATATATAAAAGAAACATTCACTATTCATGAATGATAAAAAAATAATATTTCAGAGATAACATCACAGCAGAAACAACCCACTGCAACTGCCGTGCAATTTTCTTTTCGACATCAGTTGATTTTTTTACACTGTTCATAAATTTATATCAGCTTTGTATTCTGTTTTTAAGTATTTACTTGAATGTAAACTTTCCAAGAGAACAGTAAAATTTTCACTACTTTATTTAGTAAACCCCCTGGAATAACTTATGAAGCTGAATTAACGACTGTTACTAATTCAGGTAATTAAAAATGAACAGCTGCGTGAGTGATTCTATTCAGCAACATCAGTATTCTGATGGCTAACCTTATTTTAAATTCGAGTTCTGTTTTAGTAAGATTAAAACATCTGGCCTTCTATCTATGCCTAAACATATATGCAGGATTCTATAATTTGTCTGATAACAACCTATGTGCCATATGCCTATTGTAAATTACGATTATCATTCTTTTCAAGCGAAAGAGACGAACATAGTTTTTTTCTTTACAATGCAAATATAGCCCCAACACGAACGTGCTCAGCATTCGCCTAAAACGTGAAGCAGTTACGCACGTGCTTACCACGTGCGGTTAAATGCAACACCAGGTGTTATTCGTTGATAAGGGTCTTCTCTCCAAACCTCTAGCTAATTCATCATTCATATTAAAAATTAGTTTACTCGTGAACAGAACACTAGCTACTGACAATGTGATCCGATTTCTAATTTTAGATACTTCACGCTAGTTTAGGTTTTTTCTGATATTTTGCATTTTTGCTTTGACGATCTAACAATTCAAATTAATACAAGGTTAAAAGGGCTGAGTGGAAACATTCAGTTTTGCTAACAGTTATCAATACTAACTACGAAAAAGCCTACGCTCGGGCAGAATAAAGGTCCATTGTTCCCGCTCTCTGATAGGTAGCAAGCATGTTATCTTTCAATCCCAATCTCTCGTGAAACAACCATCGACATGCTGTTGGGATATTGTGTTCGAACCTTTGGGATAAGTAACGAGTGAAAGTAAGCTGAAATAAACACTAAAAAAGAAAACTAGTACACAAGTCATCATGCACCACAGTGTATACCGACCCACATATGAAATATAAAGTTAGAATTAACTGCAGACAATGAGATAACTTGGATTAAAAAATTTGGTGAAGCACGTTACTTTAGGCTTACAAAAATCTTAGCCAAATTAAACACATTGCTAGGAATCTTCAAAGTACATTTGTTCTGAAAAGTATTACAGTACGTAAAAGTATATTCATATATAAACAAGAACATAAAAGTGCGATAGAAATAACACATATATATATATATATAATGACG